TGGGTGTGGCCCGGCCGCCGCATTTCGGCTCCTTCCGCGGCCCCCAGCTCCCCGACCCCCCCCCGGAGGCCCGGGGCCCCCGAGCTAGTCGAGATGTCCGAGGCGGCAGGAAATCTCAATAGCCTCCGCATGGCCAACGTAGCCCTGCGAGAAGAATTAAATGCCCTTCGCGGGGAGAATGCCAATTTGGGCCTTCAGCTCGGAAGAGCCCTGGCCGAGGTGAATTCCTTGCGGGGCAATGTCTCGAGCTACGTCCGCTGGCCGGTGCCCATAGTGCCCGTCCCTGTCCCTGCCGAGGAGAACTTTGAGTTCCCGCTCAGTGAGATCGACGCCGTTCCCGAGGGAGAGCTGCCCTTCTTGTGCTGGCCTCCCCCACGCGCGGAGCCCGAGTACACCTCGGATGATCTTCTAATTAGCGTCATCCAGGATTGCAGCACCCCCGACGGGCCCACCGACCCTCCTCTGCTGCCGGTCCCGCCCCCGCCGGCGCAGCCCCAGCCCGCGGCGAAGGAGCCGCCCCCGCAGTCCCCTCTGCCGCCGCTAGAGAAGCCTGAGATAGACCCCTTTTCAGGCGACCCAGTCTACCTGGCTGAATTCCTCATGCAGCTAGAGACCTTCATAGCCGACCACGAGGATCATTTCCCCGGCGGCGCTGAGCGAGTGGCCTTTCTGATCTCCTTTTTCACTGGCGAAGCCAAGGACTGGGCCATCTCAGTCACCCAGGAAGAAAGCCCCCTGCACGCCAACTTCCCGCGCTTCCTGGATGAAATCCGTAAGGAATTCTGTGGCCCCATCCCCCCACGTATAGCTAAAAAGGCCATCCGCAGGCTCAAGCAGGGGCACTGTACCCTCAGCAGCTATGCCGATGCTTTTCAGTTTTTGGCCCAATTCTTGTCTTGGGATGACTCCCGCCTCCAAAACCAGTTCCTAAAAGGCCTGTCGGAATTCTTCCGCAAGGAGCTCTTAGGGTCAACTGAAATGGCTGACCTGGATGAGCTGATTCGCAAATGTGTGGAGATAGAAAGAAAAGTGCGTGTCCCCAAGCCAGTCCCGCTTCCTGGGGTTCACAGTATCTTCCTCCCTTTTGCTCCGAATGCTAATGAAGATGAAAGTGAAGATGAAGAGCACCGCAGCGACAATGAAGACAGAGAGGCACGAAAGCACAGGCCTCACCCAAAGGACCAGCGGAGGTGCCCACCCCCTAGGCAGGAGGTTAGCCAGAAGGAGGAGGAGGAGATGAGGAAGAAGGAGGAAGAAATAAGAAAGGAGGAGGAGGGGGAGGTGATGAAACAGAAAGAGGAGGAAGAGATGAGGAAGAGGAATGAGGATGAAGTTGAGAATAAGGATGAGGAGGAAGATGAAGATGAGAATGGGGGCCAGGAACCCCAGCAGGAGCCAGAGCAGGAGCAGGAGACAGAGGAGACCTCTGCTGAGGTGGAGGAGGCGGCTCTGGATGAGACCCAAGAAGATAACCTAGAGGAGCTGATGGAGATGGAGGAGCCTGTGGCCCACGCTTCAACCCAGATGTATAGCTCCCCAAGTGGCAACCATGCTGAAAACTTCCTGGGTGCACCCCCTCCCATAATACAGCCCAGCAGACGGAGGAACCAGAATCGACTCCCACTTCTGGAGGGCCTTCCAGGTACCAATTCACCATTCTACAGCTCTCCACCACTGATTCGCCGCGCAGGTCGTTTGGGGCAGCGCCAAACTCGACGACGCCCCCCGGTGCTATTCCGCCTCACTCCGAGACAGGGGGGCCACCGAGCTGCTCGTGGCCGAATTCGCGTGTGAGTGCTGAGGTGAGATGGCCACCCAAAACACACCCTTCTACTGCACCCCCCGCCCCTGCTATTGCTGCCACACCTGCCCCATCTGCTGACCAGGACTTCAAGGAGTTCCAGACCTGCAGAACTCCAGACCATCTTGCAGCCGTGACCAGAGAGTGACATGTGCCCAACCAAGGCCACCTGGGAAAGGAGGGATAAGCAACAGCTGTCCTTTTGGCATGTACTCTGCTCAGTCCTGCTACAAGCTGGAGAGCAAGTTTCTGGGCCTGTTGCCATAACTGAACTGGTCACCCTCTTGTATTTCCCTCTAGTTGTTCCTAACCCTCACCTCTCCTATGTTCATTCACCGTGTTCTATGGTTTTATCCTCTGACTGACTCACCAGGACTTCACCCAGTGCCTCATTGATCTTCCCCAAGGACTGAAAAGACAAGCTACACTGAACTCCTAAAGCCACTGAGGCCAGTTACTAGACATAACCAACGGCAAGCATGATGTTATCAAGAAATGTACTTAGAAGCCTACACTTGTTTCATGCCACACCTCCAGGAGAAGGGACTGGAAGAGGACCCTGCATCTAGCCCAGTAATAGTGTGTAAAGCCACATGTCAGATGGACAACTTGACTGCAAGCCGGTCCCACTTCTGGCACTCGAGTTTACCTTCCCACAGGCTCCTGTATCAGGGCTCCTGGACTGGTGGCCTGCCACATCTGGGGCCCTCTCCTCTTACTACTCTGCCCTCCTGGGCATCCCCAGTGGACAGAGCCCAACATTGCAGGCTCTACCTCTTTCCTTGATGTTGCCTAAGGGTAGGCAGTTGGGAGGTGAGGGAGGAGGGGGAGGAAAAAGCAACAGCAACAGTTCAGTTTTACATTGTAAGGAGTGGCTCTTTCTTTAGGGATAGTGATCTCCTCCCCCTGCCAGGCCTTGGACTGCAGCCCCCAGCCAAACGTCTTGGCAGGAGACTTTCTATCCTTGGGGTTGCAGAGGAAGCCTAACTGGCCTTTTATTCTGGGACAGCAAGGAGAGAGGGCCCACGGCCTACTCTTTGACTCTCTTCAACTTCAAAGATTCCTTAGTTCTGAGAGGAGAGGAGAGGAAGGCTGGCTGTACAGAGACTGCAGCCTCACAGCCAGGACGCTTCTTTGTGTCTCTCACATGGGGGTCAGCCCCTGGGCTGCTGCTGGGCTTTGGTTAGACAGTGAGGCCTAAGACGGTGACTGCCTCCTAGGAACTCCTGGGACTTCTGGGTACAAACCCAGGTGCACTTATAAAGAGACCTGCACTTGCCTTGGGTCCAGAAAATATTGCTTCTGCTGGGAAAAATACATGTTTACTATGTCAGCCCCGGCCATGAAATGCCAGGCAAATCCACAGCTGGCCTGAACTGCCCCGGACACTGAACTTTCTGTACAGTGCCTGGCAGCTGAGCAAGTGCAGCCAAAGTAGCTGTGCCAGAGGGAAGAAAACATAGTAAGCTAAGCCTCTGTTCCTCATCGGAGTCCGACAGATAACCTCAGCCCAGCCTTAGGATTCTGGCCCTGCAGGCAAGAGGAAGGAGCTGGAGGAAGAGGAGTCACAGAGAAACCCAGTCCTCCAACTGGTTTCTGGTGAGGTCTCTCTTCATCAGTGGGAGGTAAGATACCCTTTTGTTTATCACTTTTGTCTCTCAGCCTGGGGATCAGTGGAGCTGGGTTCCTAAAATCTGTTGCTAACCTTTAAAAAGGTACCCCGTTGGGCCAGCCCGGTGGTGCACTCGGTAGAGTGCGGCGCTTGGGAGCGCGGTGGCGCTCCCGCCGAGGGTTTGGATCCCATATCGAGACCAGTCCGCTCACTGGTTGAGCACGGTGCGGGCGCGACACCAAGGGTTGCGATCCCGTTGCCGGTCGCGGTACGGGCGCAACACCAAGGGTTGCGATCCCGTTACCGGTCACGAAAAAAGACAAAAAGGGGGAAAAAAAAAAAAGGTACCCCCTTTCCAAAGAGAAAAGTAATATACAATCATAGAAAATTTGGAAAATAGAGAAAACTATAAAGACAACTCCCCCCAAACATTCAGAGTCCCACCACACAGACGCAAGCACTATTAACACTTTGCTACCTTTCTTTCTAGTGCGTTCTTGCTGTGTCTTTTTAAAGCAGATCATCCTGCTAGCTCTTGATCAGCAGGATTTAAAATGGCTGCCACCTATGCAGTCATGCATACTGAATAATTTATTTAAGCATTCTCCTCATTTGTTGGACATTTCAATTGTCTGGTTGTCTGCATCCCCACCAGGGCAGGAATAAACAACCTTATAAAGAAAATTTTGTCTGTTTTTCAGCTTATTTTCTCAGGAGAGAGTTCTAGAAGGGGAACTGCTATTCTTCGAGGCTGTGGACCCTGTTTGCTGATGATCAACATGCTGACCCTGCTACCCACATCCCTGTGAAGAAGTGCAAAGGACAGGTGCCTTGCAACCCCACTTCCAGGGACCGCTCAGCACAGGCCCTTCCTGTTCCCCTGGTGCTTCTCACCCTGCATCCTTGTAGCCTCAGCCAGGGAAAGAGCAGAGGAGCAGTGAGCTGGTTTCCAGCCCTCTGGGGGGAGGGGGGCTTGGGCTTCCCTTTGACCCTCTTTCCCAGATCTTCACTATTCGTTGTGATGTAACAGCCACAAGAGCTGTAAGAGGAACTATGGGCTTTGGGCGCTTTCTTGGGTTGAAAGAGGGGTGGGGGTGGGAAATGCATGCAGGGGTAGGAAGGCAGCCCAAGGATTCCCAGCAGCTCAGGAAGGAGGAAACCCGTTCGAAATCAGTGTGTTACTGTGACTGTGTTATTGCTGTATTACTGTGTTGTGAAGGTAAGAAATTGCTCTGTATGCTAAAGCTTTCTCTCCTCAATAAAAGTATCAAGGGTGTGTAAAAATTGTGTCTCTCTGTGTTACTGAGCAAGCACAGATGGGTTCGCAGTAGGCATCAGGTACTTCCTAGGCACCCTGCCTAAATCAACCCTACCTAGCCTGAAGTCTTGAAATCCTCAGATGAGGAAACCAAGGCCCAGCGAGGCTCAAGAGTCCTGCATGTTTGTGGATGGCAGAAATTGTTGGGAGGGAAGTGGAAGCAATGGGCTTGAAGAATAGCATTAGTTCTCTCTTTACTGGGATATAGAGGATGGGTGGCCTAGCCCCACCTACCATCACACACACACACAGGACTTTTGAGTGAAGGGAGGGAGGGAGGCCAGGCGGGATGGGTAGCGAGGGTCCTTCCACTTCTTGGCACTAGGTGGTGCTGTGGGACGCCATGAGCTAGCTGGTGAAGAATTTGAAACAAATCCCCAGAGCAGTCCAGACAGAGGCCCTCCCAGCAACATCTCACTGCTCCTCACAGATGGTGGAAGAAACAGAATCCCATTCTGGGACTGTCCTAAGTTTCCCAGCAATGAATGGGACATTTCCCCCCTGGGGAAGTGGGTGGGAAGGCTCATGGAGGGCTTGGCCAGGCACTTCATGTCTGTTACCTTACTTACGACCCTGGGGGGCAGGCACCATTCTTACCCACATCTTAAAGAGGAGGACACTAAGGCTTGGAGGGGAGAAGTCACTGGCCCAAGGTCGACAGCTAGGCAGTGGCTCCTTCTTAGCCCTATGGTTACCTATCAGTCAGCTCTGGGAACACCTAGCCCCTCTCTGCCCCGACTCCACTGGCCCTGCTGTCTTACAGGCCAGGCTGGTCTCCTGGTTCTGCCTTGCCCTGTTTACCTCCCCCAGCTTACAGGATTCCAGTGAAGAAAAAAACACCTGGGTTCAGAGGCACATTTGCTTTGCCCCTTTAAGAGGAAGGGACCGAGGGAGGCAGGGAGAAAAGAGGGAAGGGAGGGAGGAAACCACCATGTTTGCCCATGTGCCAGGCATTTTCGCCAACATTATCTCATTTCATTGCCACACAATTCAGTGAGGCAGGTAATGGTGTCTCCTTTCGGAGCTGAGGGATCTAAATCTCAGAGATACTGGGTTTCTTGGGGGACTCAAGGTCTCTGTGACTCCCAGACCTATACTCTCTCAGGTCTAATGCACCATGCTGTCTCCCAGGAAACCACGACCCCCCCCCCCCCCCCCCC